CGGATCCCCCCGCGGGTGGAGGGAAGGGCGCCCTCTGCGGGCGGGAGGCCGCGCTGTCGCCACGGCAACGGCGGCGCGGGGGGGACACGGCTAAGCCGGGCGGGGACCCGCGGTGACACGGCTTGACAGAGCCACCGGGCGGGACACGGGCTGCCAGAGCCACCGGAGCACCGGCGGGGGACACGGGCTGCGAGAGCACCGAGGAAACAGCGGGGGACACGGGCTGTGGGACACACCGGGCCACCAGCGGGGGACACACCGTTTGCCAGAGCCACCGGGCCACCAGCGGGTAAAAGGGGTCGCGGGGCAGCGGGAAGGGTCCCCGGTCCCCGGGCAGTGTCACCGCATCCCCGCGGAGCCTCCCCGCAGCCCCGCGTCCCTCACCTGCCCGCTCAGGTGGGCTCCTGCAGCAGCGCGGGGCTCCGAATCCCTCCGCTCCTGTCGGTTCCCAGSTGAAAACTCTGCCTGTGGATTAATACTTTAATTTATTCCTTTATTGCACGGCGCTGGGGGATGGATCCGTGACGGTCATTACCTTCCACTCCACTCCAKTCAGAGCTTTTCAGATTTTACTTTTTGCTGTTCCTACACTTGGCACTCTGCCACCGCTTCAAACTCACTCCTGTAGCTCTCGGGAGAAGCCGTGTGTGGACACCGGTTTATCCGGACGCTGGACAYCGTGGATTACTGACCGTCAGGCGCAGCCGATCTAACCACAGATAGCAGACGGGGCTGGGCCGGGCTGGGATGGCTCCGTCCCGGAATAACAACTTYCATTCCCTCCCTGCTCAGGACCATGGCCGGCATCGAGGAGCGCACCTTCATCGCCATCAAACCCGACGGGGTCCAGCGGGGGCTCGTGGGGGAGATCATCAAACGYTTCGAGAGGAAAGGGTTCAAGCTGGTGGCCATGAAATTAATACATGTAAGCTCTCCTTGATTGCTGTGTCTGCTTCTTCATATCCACCGTAGCCTTCAAATGCAGCAGCATGCTCTAACAACAAATGTGGCCTCTGTAACATTTAAAAYGGAAGTTTTGAGAGGTCTTGCTTGGGTTGTTTTTGGAAAAGTTCCAATTCCCAGCTCTGGCTAAATGCTTTAGACATGCTAAGCACCCTAATTTTAGTAACCTGATGKCCTTAGTCTGAAGAGAATATTCTTTCAGGTGCATCCTATGCCTAATACATATCTTTGAGTGTCTTCCACAAATCCCAGCTCATATAAATTGTCTGTTTTGACAACAGAAACTTTTTAAAGTTTAGTTGTGGTTAAAGCAAATTATTCAAGTTTCACCAACCAAAAGTGCTCCTAGGGAGATGYTGGAAATTCTGAATTTTGAAGTGCGTGCAAGTTTCAGGATTACCCTCTCTCTGTGGTTAATCTCTGCGATTTCACTATGCTCTTAAGTTCTTACAGTAAGCTTTTTTCTCTGTCTGGCTGGTTTTTAACCCAGGCCTCTGAGGACCTTCTGAGGGARCACTACATCGACCTCAAGGACCGGCCGTTCTACGATGGTCTGGTGCAGTACATGCACTCGGGACCYGTCGTAGCCATGGTGAGTTCCTGGCAAGGAAAACCACAGTGCTTGATTGCCTTCCCTGCAATGAGACTGTGGCACCTCTTGGATTCTGGTTTACTTTTAAAAGGATTTAAGAACCTGGATTGAAATATTATAATTAGAAAGATGCACTGTTAAGTCCTTTTATCTTTTCCCATAATCTCTCTCTCCTTTGAGTCAATTTGTTGAGGAAGAGGGCAGGGGCAAAAGGGAATCAAAGCTGGGACCTTGACAAACAGTAAAAAAGCCCCACTAGGAAATGCCATGCAGTAAACATGCTGAAAAAGGACAGTATTTTTACTATATTTCTCTTTTTCTCCTTGGTAATGTATTTGTAAAATARTTGAGGTCCAGCTCTTCCATGAGCAGACAGCTTTGTGAGGCTGCTTGACATACTGAGATGGAAAATAGTTCTCTCCCCACCCCGAGTGAAGAGGGGGATTGTACAGAAGGGGACCATGTCAGCAGATGCTTCAAGAATTTGGCAGAAAAACTGATGATAAAATCTGTCTCACTATTACAAATATTCAGATAGTGATTTGTGCCATGATGGACAGCCCTGTGTTCTTGTGGATGGTGTAATTTATCTGCTGCTAAAATTTAATAATCTCAAAGGATTTTTTTTTTCTTTTAAGGTGTGGGAAGGTCTTAATGTGATTAAGACTGGAAGAGTGATGCTGGGGGAAACCAATCCATTCGATTCCAAGCCCGGCACTATTCGCGGTGACTTCTGTGTTCAAGTTGGAAGGTAAATTTTAAAACTCAGAAGGCACCAAATGCCAAGTGTTATGCCATGATATCTGCAGGAACTCCATCCTTCTCTGTCTTACACATGAAGCTGCCATTCCATGTGCCCATTTCATGTCAGGATGGAAATTGAGCCGTGATTGTCCCCATTGACAGAAATAAGGAGAAAAGCTGGCACTGCCTGTGCTGCATCTTTTCCTGCTTTACTGTTACCAAAAGCTCCTGTCYATGGTGGGAACCACTTCAAAACAAGAAGCTTGCTTTGCTCTAAGTTTAACAATTCTCTTATATTCTCTATCCTTTTCCTAGGAACATCATTCATGGCAGTGATTCCGTGGAAAGCGCAGAGACAGAGATCAATTTGTGGTTCACTCCTGAAGAACTGGTTGATTACAGAAGCTGTGCTCACGAGTGGATCTATGATTAACAGCCAGCCTGGATCCTCTGATATCCCCACAGTCCGTGAGCARCTGCCAGCCTGTAGCTATTCCAAAGAATTCCCTGGTAGAAGCTGTGAGTTGCTCTGTTGTGAATATTGAATAGAKTCAGTGCTTGCTGCTGCTTTGATTTAAAAGCTGTCAAGTTATAGACRGGATTACACTTTTTAAAAGATGCTTTTGGGGTTGAGATGTGAGGTGAAAACACAGAGCAGATAATAGATATTTTTCTGAAGCACTTTATAGTCTTAAAGAGTATTTTGGTAAACAAAAAAAAAAAAAGAGTAAAAAATTCTTTGGTAAATAAATACGAAAATGGCTCAGAGTCAGAGGTTAACTTTACTAAAGCATTAGGGGACAACTGGTGGTGTGTAAATGCATTGCTAATGTGCCCAAATGTTTTAAGGATTTACTTAATATCAAGTTAAGTGCATCCCCATTCCTAAAACAGCTGCAGAAAAMAGCCCATTTCTCTCTCAGAACATGCTGTGCCCATTCAGAGCTCAGCTCTGGCTAAAATGACAACTGGCCTCCAYACTGACACTGCTTTATTCCTTCCACAAGGGATTTATTCAGCATTTTAAGGAAAGATTAATGGGCCAGCCTTTTTGAAATGCCCTTTTATATGAAAAGAAGATTAATGTGAGGATGGATGAGGGAGATTCTACCTTCACTTCAGTGCAGCAGCCCTGTGACATTGCACAGAGCAGTAAGTGGTGTTTGCTGAACAGCTGATAATTTAGCTTTGTTCTCATTCGTGTCCTTTCCTCAATAGCTGGAACTACAGAGCAAACTGTCCTTGGATAAGTTGTTTCAGAAGTGACTTTAGCACTATTGTTTTGTATTTATTTTAAAGACGTAAATAAGCACAGTCATAATACTGCAGAAGGTGTTTCAGTTTTGACAGCAGAAGTTGTGCTGGATGAGGAAGTAGGGATTGATATTATGTATTTATTTCTCTGCAACATTTTATTCACTAAGAGCAAGAGTTTCACAGAATTAGTTGCTGAAACTCCACGATTTTTTTCCCCACACTGTGAGTTCTTGTAGTAAATACTGAACTATGCAATGAATGTTGAATTGAAAGCTTATGATACCTTATGATATTGGGCTCCTAAAAAGAGATGGTACAAAATAAAACATTTGCTGTTTCTTAAGTGAAATAAAAGGAAATTTTAATTATACTGTTTTGTATCTAATTAATGAGTACAAAGAAAGGGAATGGATGAAGCTGTAGGTGAAGGCTGTGAGCTTCTTTTTCTGAAAATATTCAGTGTTATAGGAGATAAATAATGAAGTGAAAGGTAGCTGGAGGGAAGGGAATATGTGACAAACCKGGGTGTGAGATGAGTGGTGTCCAGTTTAATCTTTGCTCGAAAGGTTACTTGAGATTTCTATATTGCACAAAAGAGAAAAAAGTGGGTTATCTGGGGACGTGGGGGTTGCCAGGAAGCTGCTGATTAGTGTTTTTAATGTGATGAGACTGGGAGGAGGTGGCGGTCAGCACTGCTGCACGGCTGAGGTTCCTGAGCAAGTCCAGTGTGGAACCACACTAATTGACCCTGTGAAACCACTAATTGGCCTCTCAGTAAGAGAAAATGCAAGGGCTGCAGAGGTGATTTCATCCGTGACCCACCTGCAGTGATGGTGTGCCATTATAACTTGCTCAGGAAAAGATGTTTTATAAACTAGAAAAGGGTTTACAACAGTTAAAAAGAGGTTAAACATCATAGAAAATAGCAGCACACTCCCTGCTTCACCTTGTGACACGGGGACTGTGAGGCTTTGACACTGGGCAGCTTCATCTTCCCAATAAAATTACCAATTACGTATCTGGGTTACGGATCCCACATCCCAGTAAAATTATCAATAATTTTCTTGATTCCCCCATCAATTTTCTGTAAGGACTGCCCTTTCGAGGAGCTGTAGCCGAGCTGTCCGGTGCAGCTGGGCTGGCAGTACCAACCCTCAGACCGCAGGAATACCTGGAAACAGCCAGCCCAGCACCGATGATTAATGAATTATTCAGTCCTGTTGAACATCTGCCGTCTCTTCAGCGCCTTAAAGGTTTAATCCGCAGTTGCTGCGGGTGTAAATTAAGAACCCCCGAGGCGGCGGAGGCGACAGGTGCGAGCGGGGCTGGCCAAGAGCCGCCCCCGGCAGCCGGGCCCGCCAGCGGCCCTGTCCCATCCGACCCCATCCCGTCCCCTCCGGTCCCTCAGCCCGGCCCGGTCCCGCTCCGTCCCGGCGCTGGCGGTGCCGCCCCCGAAGCGCCGCCGGCCCGGCGGCTCCTCCCTCACGCGGGGCGGGGGATCCTCGGCGCGCCCGCCTCCTCCTCCGCCTCTTCCTGCGGCGGCAGCGGCGCGGGCGGCGGCAGCGGCGGCAGCTCCGGACAGGTGAGGCCGGGCCGGGTGCGGGGGGCGCTCCGGGGGCGCGGGCGGAGGGGCTCGGGGGGTTCGGTGGGGCCGGTCCGGGCGGGTTGGGAAGGAACGCGCTGAGTGTGGCGGTGCCGCGTGGCGGGGCGGGGCCGCCATGGCCGCCGCCGACCTTGAGGCCGCGCGTCCCCTCACGGCGCGGTGCCATTGCCGCCCGCAGCGCCATGGCGGGGAACAGCGAGCGCACCTTCATCGCCATCAAACCCGACGGCGTGCAGCGCGGGCTGGTCGGGGAGATCATCAAGCGCTTCGAGCAGAAGGGATTCCGCCTCGTGGCCATGAAGTTCGTACACGTGAGTGCCGCGCCGCGCCCCGAGCGCTTCCCGTTTCCTCCCTGCCCGAGAGGGGCTCACCCCACCCGCACACACCGAGAAAAACCTCCCCTCGCCGCTTCCCCTGCGGCACAACGGGCTCTGCTGGCGGATGTGCTGCGGCACGGCTCGGGCCCGCCTTCCTGCCCGGCACGCCGCTTCCATTCTTAACAAAAAACCAGCGAATTTCCCTCCATGGTTTAACGCTGCCCGATGGAGAGCTGGGGTGACCTCGGCTGAGARTTTGTGTTGGGTTACATCACCCAGGGATCCCGGACTCCGCTTATCGCTGGGAGTCACTGCCATGCAAAGAAATCGTATTGACAATTGTCGGCGTGGCCACAAAGAACTCCTTTAATGTTACAGCAGCGGCTCCCATTGATACCCACAATAGCACSGCAGCGCTGTCGGTAACATTAATGATTGGTGAATCTGGTCACTAATGCCAGAGTCTCACACCTCTAACACGTTTTATTCAATGATATTCAAAAATGGTATTTAATGCTGTCCGTAACATTAATGATTAGTGAATCTGGTCACTAATGCCATAGTCTCACACCTCTAACATCTTTTGTTCAATGATATTCAAAAAATGATATTTAATGCTGTCCGTAACATTAATGATTAGTGAATCTGGTCACTAATGCCATAATGCCACACCTGTAACACCTTTTGTTCAATGATATTCAAAAAATGATATTTAATGCTGTCCGTAACATTAATGATTAGTGAATCTGGTCACTAATGCCATAATGCCACACATGTAACATCTTTTGTTCAATGATATTCAAAAAATTATATTTAAAGTTGCATCTGCCCTTTTAAAGGCCTCCGAAGACCTTCTCAAACAGCATTACATTGACCTGAAGGACCGCCCCTTCTTCCCTGGTTTGGTTAAATACATGAACTCTGGACCTATTGTGGCCATGGTAAGTGGCTTGATTTTAGTTCAGGTTGACTTTCTTGAATATATTTGTGTTGGTCTATTAATTATTTAGAATATTCAGGGATATTGTTGCAGAAACATTTTTTTAAACTATCCACTTCTTATAGTGGCAAAAGAAAAAAATTAAATTAAGACAATGAAATTTCCATATCTTAAAAATAAGGGAAGTGCACATATAAAATGGGTATTATAATGCTTAARTGTATAAAACAAAATTCCTGAAAGTAAATCTTTTGCACCAAAAAAACTCTTGAGCAATAAAAAGGGTCAGTCTGTCTGACATAGAAAGCCAGATTCGGTGTCATTCTTTCTTACATTCTTCCAAAACAAAGTACTTGCTCTAATAGCATGTTCTGGTGTGAAAATGGATGAAAACACTGAGCAGGCTGTCCCTATCCCACCCCCACACAAAGGGTTGGAGTTGGGCACATTAACTCTTGAGACTGGATAAAGTATCTCCTTCAGTGCAGTAACAATGTTGATAGTCTTTTTTACAATCACTGCCAGTTAATTTTTCCCCTCCTCACCTTACAGGCCTAAAAAAGAATCAAGGTTAATTTCTAGTGGTAGAGCTCCTGTTTCTTTGCAGAGTATGGTATTGCAAAGAAGAATTGTCAGTAATTTTTATAAGAATGGATTAACAGCATTTGTTTTGTGTTTTCTACCTTAAGGTATGGGAAGGACTCAACGTGGTTAAAACAGGGAGAGTAATGCTGGGGGAAACCAACCCTGCAGACTCCAAGCCTGGCACCATCCGTGGGGACTTCTGCATTCAAGTGGGAAGGTTTGTGCTCAGTTTATTAATCAATAGTAAAAAACTCAGCAGCTCCTACCCACTGTTTAACTGCCAACACAAAATCTGTTGGTAGTCTTTTATTCTGGAAAGGCAGAATTGGTACTTGATACCTCAGACTGATGGAATTTCATTTGCAGGTCCCAGCCCATAGCTGCTGCTTGGGAAAATGGCACAAAGCTGACTTTGTTTGCAATGCAGCTCCTCCCCAGAGCAGCACGTAAGCTCAGGCAGGGGCTGGTGTAGAACAGTAGCTCCATAGTGACCCTGCTAAGGCATAATTAGCTCTAGAGGGGGGTGTTGGAACCCTGTATCTGAAATTAGAGTCATCTCCCAGCTCTAAATGCTTCTTCCATGTTTTTGTAAATTGAGAACAAGGCTGCTGAAAGTGTTTTCATAGGGAACAATGTTTGTCTCCTCCCACAGGAACATCATCCATGGCAGTGACTCTGTGCAGAGTGCCCAAAAGGAGATCAACCTGTGGTTCAAACCCACAGAGCTCATCGACTTCAAGCCCTGTGCACACGACTGGATCTATGAGTGATGGGTTCCCACCRGGATCTGTGCCTTCCAACACCTCATCTCATTCCAGCTGCTGCCCTGGGAGCAGCCACGGTTACCTTAGTGCTCAAAGTGACTGTCMAATAAATGGGTGTGAACGAATTGCTTGTGGTGCTTTCACTTACACCAGACCTGTGTTCAAATACACTTAAAGTCATTTTAGTCCTTCAGGAGCCAGGGACACRAGGCCCTGGCACAACTGCTGGACTCAAGCAGTGGCAAATTTGCARAGGGAGAGTCAAAGGGAGGCTGGAGCTGCTTCCAACAGCTAGAAGAAAAATGGGATACCACAAAATTTCCCTCCTTACATAAACATAAAAACTAATACCAAATGAAGTAAGATCAAGTGCCAAGCTTGCTCTTAGAAATGCTTATCTAATTCACCTTCACTTATAAAATCCCTTACTTGTGCTCTGGGCCCCACCTGGTGCATTGGTCTGACACCAAACATACCCAGTTATTTCAAATACTCATGATTTTACAGATTGTGGATATTTCTAATAKGCATTGTCTTGAGAGAAACAAGCTGAAGTGCATTTAGGGCAATCAGTATCTTTTAAACAAAACAAATCACTATCCCAAAAAAGACTTTTTATCATTTTTATTTTGTGTAAAAAAGGCAAATTTAGTGAATTATTTAATCTTGTACACAAAGTTATAATTTTAATGCTTTTCACATCCATGCTGAAAATCTGCAGTCTCGTAAAAATGAAAGTAACATGAACTTCTCCAAAAGCATTTTTTCACTGAGTTATGTACATTGCATGAGAAAGCTTTAAATACTCTCTCACCGACCACACAAATTACCAAGAAAATAAAAGATTAAATTTGTACAGATATTGATCTATATATCAAATACATACAGAAATGATGTAAAAACCCCATTTGTTTAATCCTGATTCCCACCCCAACATTTTCCCAGGGGCCAAAGCTGATGCCTTTTTTTTTTGTATAAATGGCTGTGGCTTTTCATTTTAAATATGAAAAAAATCAAAAAGAAGAAAAATTCAGCTGAAATCACAGTTTTTTAAAATCCCTTCCCAATAAAGGATTGTTACCAAATATATTAGCACCATCGTACAAAGATTGAGGGAGGGTATTCACATCACAGAAAACAACAATAAAAAAACCAAACAAACACTGAAACCCGTGTTAGTATCCGTAGAACAAGGAATCARTAACTGCCGTAGCTTTCCTCAGATGCAGCAAGGAACAGGTTAAGAGTTGTGCTGAGAATAATGTAACAATCAAAGATCAGCAGAGAGATTTGGAGCAAGGAAAGAGGGGCAGCASCCAAGTCAGGGACAGGGCTTGGGCTGCCTCATGGTCAGAAAAACCTGCTGTGCCAAATGCCAAAACGAGTCCGACCCCATTGAAGGTTTCAGGTGTCCAACATTCGCTGCTCTCTCAGCCAGGTACCACGGCTGGAAGCCAAGAGAAGCATCCCAGAGCCCCGGGGATGCTTTGCACCACCAGGAGCTGCCACAGAGCCACCACGGCTCTCCCCACAGGTCTCACCCCTGCGAGCACCCGGCTCTGCTTTCCTTGGGCTTCTCTCAGCAGCGCCTTCCAGCAGCTCCTCCCATGGCCTGCTCAGCACAGATGTCACCGCACTTGACAATTCCACAATCCAGGCATCAGAAACACAAAACACATTTCACCAACTGCTGAAGTCACACRGGTACCCCAGAACGTACATCACCTCACAGACTTTAGTGTTTGATGAATAACAGAGTATCATAAAGACTGACAGACTTTAGAACAGATTCTTACATTTCTCCAACACAGGAAGTGTGTTCAGGACTAATTTTCCCTCTCGACATTTGAAGACCAACTTGGAAATCAGGAGCCCAAGTTTAGTGACCTGGCAATGCACCTCACTCATTACTAGCCTGACCTTCCACATTCTGAAACACAAATTAATGAGACAGTTTTCTACTCGAGTCAGAAGCTGTTGATGAGAGAAGAAAGCAAAGATTGTGAGAGAACCTTATTCCAGCTGGCTGGGACAACCTGCAAGTTGTTGCATTAAAAAAAAAATAAATAAATCAACAATGCTGTACTTACCAAACCAAACCAATGCTTGCAGAGCTGGTTTTTACAGCAGATTAAATTGAGAACACAAGAAAAAATAACATAATCAAGGCTCAAAGTGTCACTACAATGGTCTCTAATCCTACTTCTCCAATCTAGGCTGTTTAAAATAAACATCATGAGTGGGTCAATCTGAGATAAGGTATTTGATGTCTACCAGGTCCAACAAAGTCCTTTTTATGGCTGTTTTAGAGAGCTAAAATGTCTTTACCACCTGAAGTTACAGACTGTTGTAATCTGATGAATAGATTCTGTCAATAGAAGAAGCTGTTATTAAAAAGGGGTAATTTTTTAAGAAATTTTACCAGTAAGGGAGAATTCCAGACATTCCTACACTATACAGGACACGTTTTACTTCCAGTAGTAAATACAAAACTTTACGTAATTAACCCCTCTTGCATAGAATGAGGTAAACCTGTGCATATCACCAACACTRTGTACCCAAAGTTAGAGCAATATTTTAGAAAATAATCAAATTGCTGGTTTTCAACTTTCTATGCAGTTTTGTTTTTTTTTTAAGCTCAAACAACAATATACAAAAATGGTCTCCTGGGGCTCTGTGRGTTGACATCCTTAAAGTATTTCTTAGGCTGTAGGAATACAGATGTTAATAATTTTGATGGATTTTTTTTGAAGCCCTAATTTATGGTCAAGAGTCAGATGATCATTGTACTGCTCTGAAGGGGACCTGTGAAGACCCAGAAGCACTTACAGAACTTATGAGATAATTCCTGAGAGTTTAGTTAATGAACCTTACTGGTAAAAGCTAAAGCTCTTGATGCACATTTTTCCAGTCACAGCTCTGCAGGGCTGATCAACCACCTCAATTCATCAACTGCATTTACAAAAATGTACAAAGGTTAAAAATATGGAAGGATAAAATCCAAATCATTAACAGGTCCTGCAAAACCACTTTGCGTTTAACTGGTCATCATTTTCACCCTTTTATGTGACTTRTGGKATACTTKACATGAGACAAGAATTCCAGGCAAYATACAAATCCAGTTTCTGAATGACATACCAAAAACATGTGATTTTAATGCTGTTCTCAAGTCTCAACTACCATGTTTCTCTATTGCAGCAAGACATGAATATTGCAGGACTCAGCTCATTTTTAATCCACAGCAYAGGGCTCCTTTCATCTCACCTGAAACCATGTGGCACATCAGTCTRAATGGTCACAGATAAATATTGAAGATGGTAAACATTTAGGGCTTTCTGAATGGAAAAAAAAATCAGAAGAATACTCACAAGTTCCTTCCCACTACCAAGGGAGTCCTTAGTGACTGTCCAKCTAAGCTGCTTCTTCAGTCAAAATTCAGAGCTAAAACTATCTTCCAATGAGGGAATTGTCTGAAGTTCCAGTTTGGCATAGGGCTCTGTAAACATGTGCTGAAGCATTCCAAGACTACAGACATTCATGTACAGACAAGAGCTTCGTAGATCCCATCCAATGCCCACTGCAGTCGACGGAGACAAGGCTACTGATATTAATGGGCACTGAATCAGACCCTAAGGAACATTAAAAAAACCCAAAACCTTATATAAAAAAAGGTATTTTAAACTAAATAAAAACACCTTGAAAAGTTCAAATCTTCCTCAGGTGATGGCTCCGCTGCACTTGGGGCTACTCACTGAGTAGAGCTTTACAGGACTATTTTCCACATACAATTTGTGCCTCTCCATCAGGGCTTAAAAGCCTTATTTTCACAATTAAAAAAACAGAGGCGTGACCAGTGCAGTTCACAAGAGTCTAAAAGTCTCCCAACTTGTACCAAAAAGGTTCATTTGTTATGACAATTCATTTGTATTTGCAACTATATCTTCCTCCAACTGCTTCCCACAACCATGCTAATTAAACTTTAATCTTACCAAAAAATTAGAATTTCAGTTCTTGTTAACAATGCACAATAAATCTGAACTTGAAAATATTACAAAATTCTTTCAAAAGCTTCAAATACAACACAAAAGTGTCCATTTTTTTTTTGTTTTTAATAAATTGAAAAATCTTTTTCACTAAAATAGTTTCCCCGCCCTTCCAAAAAATTCTGAACTGAGTCTAATTCATCTACAGTTAGCAAAGTGCCCCAGGCACAGTCACCCGAACTGCACCATCCAAGTGGGAACAGAATCAGTCAGTCTTGGAGAAAGGTTCTTTTCCTATCACCAATCTGTGCCCCTCGCTGTGGAGCTGCCTCAGGGTTCCTGTTTGATGTAGTAGCTGGCAGAGCCATTGCTCTCCTGGTCAGATGCTCCCTGCAGGAAGCTGTACTCCTCCCCRTCCAGCAACTCCTCCTTCAGCTGCAACGAAGTCACTGCAAATCAAAAATTCACATTAAGCATCTGCCAAATTTAAGGTGTGACTTTTCATTAAATTCCCTATTTTCTTATATTTGCATTTTAGTGATGCTTTAACACTCAGAATCCCAGAGCCAGCAACTGCTTTGTGAGTGCAGATGGAACTTAAAGTAATGCTCTAATATGAACAGATTTCAAATAATCTCGTCAAGATTTTCTCAAGAATTGAGTATTTTTAACCAGTTTAACTTTAAAACCACTTGGTTTCCTATTTAGCCTTTATGCAAGTGAAAATGAGATTGGAAATGGCCAACAGTTCATCTACAATTCGCATGACTTAGCCCAGTTACTGCAAACAGTCAATGTGAGACAACAAAATGTATTCACAAAGATTTCTCAAATCTGTCATTAAAAGTTTAAGATCCCAGAAGGTAAATTCTACTCAAGCAAATTATTTTTTGTAATTTTAATCTTCTTTTCTTTTAGCAAAATTAAAGAAAAATAAGATCTAAGACATAAAAAATAATGTTATGAATAGCAATAATGCCACAATTAGTTTTCCAGTTTCATTAATGAACAGAGATGGTTATCAAAATATGAGCACAATGAAAAGAACACTGAAAACAAAACATGTAAACGTTCATTAAAGGTGCAGTACCCACGTTAAAGGGTTGATTATACAAAAATAAATGATTCTCTATGACCAAATGAATGAGTATCAAAGTTTATAACTATTGAATATAAAGTTCATATACGTTGTCAATGTCTTGAAATGCAGAAATATGCAGTAAAAGAAAAAACCGACCCCATAACCTACTGCTACTGACAGCCCTGCAGTAACTCACAAGCTGTTTGATTATTCTTTTATAAATATTCTATGTCATCTTCTATGTYGAAACAAGTTCTTGTGCTACATAAAACTAAAATTTGAAAATCACGATAGGAAGAGATGTCAAAAGTTGCAGCATAATGCAAGCTCTCCTCATCTTTCTTTAATAGATGCCTCCTCCCACCTACACAGCCCACAATCCCTTCCTTATTATTTTTTTCCCAAACACTTTTCCTTGCATCATGTCCAGCTCTGAGATTCCTGATCTTTGGGGGACAATAAAGTGCTTTCTAAATGATAAGACACAAAATTTGCTATTTGGCTTTGCTGCAATACCTTAAGCAAAATCTACACATAGGTCAGGGATCCAAAACAACCCACACCAGGCAAGTTGTTTTCCTTCTTTCCCTCACCAGGAAGTTCCTGCAGAAGTAACAGCAGCTGYCAGGATTTGGATTGGCTCTGGCTCATTTGAACCAAAGTCCTGASATGTGGATATTTAACGATACCTTACTTCATCTGTCCCTATTATGCAGCTTTTAACTCCAATCCTTCAGAACAAAGGCTTCATTAGAGCTACAYACCAAGTTACTCAAAAGAAGAATAAAGAAAGATGATGGAAGTCATCCAGCTGAAGGAAAAGGGATGCAGTTGGGCCAGGTATTCCCTTTTTACATGGTCTCTGATCTGCCTGATGCTGTGACACTCAAAACTCCCAACATGAATGGAGCAATGGGCTACAGGGCTGGGTGAGTCTCTGGGAACAGTCTCCTGCTCTGCCAGGCTGACTGTGGGTTCTTTTTAAAAGCAGTCCAACAGTTGAATTTCAGTGCTGAGAAGATAATTTCAGATGACTGAAAGATGCAAAGTACTCATGCACACTAAAGCAGCACCAGGAATTTGCTAGAGAGCAAAACCACTTCATACAAACAAGGTGAATAATTGCTCAACACTTCTCCTGTGCTCATGACAATTCAAAAGGGGAAAGAATTGGGTTTGAACCTTACTGAGATCTCCCATGGGTAAGAAAATTGAGGACTGATGCTGTTTTGTTACTGATCTTACACTGACTCYGTTCAAAGCCATGCAAACATCCCCTGCTCTGTGCCTGCATCTGTCCTACAGCTACGGACCCATCAGGCCATGAATGATGCTGAGGAATATGCAAGTAATTAATGAGTTCTGGCCAATCTCAAACATGTTCTAAACTGATTAGAGAGYATCAGGGTGATGCCTCTTCCCTAGAGACTGCAAAGGTGTAATCTTGCTGGTTTCAATTTAAACAGAAACACCTCTGGACAATTACAAGGCTACACCATAAATAAAACTAATTCTGTCCAGCCTTAGTGTTGAAAAGTTCCCCTCAGTTGATCATAGAAWGCACTGAGTATCAGAAAGTAAAGAACACAGGTGTTTCACAGGAACTGGGATTGAATGGCACAGAAATTCAGACTGTGGATGTCTTTGCACCATAGAAATGCAGGGCAGGTGTAGATTTGCAATAAGAGAAGAACAACTGTGCACAAACAAATGCTCCAGAACACTCTCCCCTAAGCAAGACTTCTCTTTGGGATCAAAGGCTCTGTCAAACACAGCATACACACATCAATGACAAACTGAGGTGACGCTAAAGGGCTCCTTGAGAAGCACTGAGTGGTGTGCAGAAGAGAGGAAAGGTTTTCCTCAGGGTCTAAAGGTGGGTTCCCSTGTCCCAGTCTGTTAATGGATAACACATGGACACTCTGGATGTATTCCAGAGTCAGCAGAGAGTGCTGACAGGGCACCCTGTGCAGAATAAGGCAAGCTTAAGGCAGTGATCAAGCAAATCTGAAGCTAAATCTATCAACCTGGCAACTGTCCTGCAGGCAGAGCATCATCCAGCCTGTCTGACAGCTCCTATTGCCACAACCTATTTGTTTGCAATAATTTGCTGCATTATGTTGCCAGAGATGTTAGGAAAAGGGACGAGAAAAAAAAAGCTACCAGATCCTTGCAGTGAACTTGCATAACTGAAGATTGATTACCTTATATSAACTATGCTTATATAAGCTCAAAATTTTAATCTACTTCTTCAATATTACTGATGAATTTTTAAGAGTTTTTCTCTGCTCACTCATACAGATGCACAATTGCACTATTTCAAATATATTTTCTTAGTAAACCACAATTTCAAGTGACACATTTCAAAGATGTTTTCCCAGATGATTACCTTTTTCTGATACAAAGACAAAAATGTTTATTACTGTGTATAGTTACTTTCTCTGCAAAGGATAATCCACACTAATGACCTATTTACATCCAACACTCCCAAATCCACATTACCATTCAGCTTTACAGARTGCATTTTTCTATTTTAGCACTCTGCAGAGCCCCCTCTGGGATTCTCAGTAACCCACACCAAAACCTCCTTCCTCTGAAGTTCTGAACCAGCTGCAACCCTCTGCTATGATTAATTCAGTGACGTGGTGCATCAGTGAGAATGAAAAGCTCTCTAACAGAAAAAAATAAAACCAACTAAAATTCAAAGGAAAAAAAAAGGCAAAAAAGAAAGATTGGATGAGTCAGCAGATGACACAGTGGAGCACAGCTCCCCACTCTGCAGTGACACACTGCTGAGAGCAGTTACCTGTTTGGAGGCTGGGACTGAACTCCTGGCTATTCCTGGGAGGCTGGAAGGCCTCGGGGGCTGTCTGTGCTGGAAGGGCTCGGTATGGAGGAGGAGCCAACTCGCCATCCCCAGAGAAGCTCCTCCGCACCTCCCCTGCCAGGGGTGGGCTGGACAAACTGACAGGTTTCTTCCCCACTGGTATCTTCCTCTCTAAACATCAAGTCAAACTAAAATAAACGCTCGGGTTAAAGTGCATCAGGCAACTCTGTCTSCTCRCTGAGAAATGGCTCTGATTGATATYCACCCTTCTGGAAAACCAGAGCACCATTCAGTTATTAYTGGAAATATTGTTCTCAACAGCCATACTGCAGTCCCTGAATTCTAGAGGCTGCTGCTGGGACTTCAAGGGCATTGCTTAATWCCATGACCCACTTATTTCATGCTCTATCAATGAAATATAAATGCTGTGAATTGCTCCTGCTGCAGCTACACTGCACARACACACACATTGCTCTGCCTGGGCWCYAAGACATCTTGGCTCAGTTTGAGGCTGYAGCTGTTTCTCTTGTGTGTCTAAGACAGAGGGATGCTTTTGGGGAAGTAACTCTCTCCAGATAAAGTTTATCACCACTAAAAATACATCCTTTTAATTCCCTTAGAATGGTATTTCCCATTTTAACAGTGCCTGACAAAYACCAATAACCATTTTTGTGTGTAGAAAAAAAACTTCTAAAATGACTTAATTATTAAACACTACATTAATAAAAAAATGTTATTAAAACACTTCCCATGCAAATTATCATCATGTTCCTCCTTTATCACTAAGATGCTCCCATTCTGTGCCCAAGGTGAGTTCTCTGTGGTATTGAGGGTACAAGATCTGTAACATAAATCAGTGCTCTCAGTTATATCAGAACTGTGGCAGCTGATGCTTCAGTCCTATCAGCACTGTCAGACAAACAAATGCCCAGTCCTGAAAAGGTAACTGATTATGCACATGCTACAGACACCACCCTGCTTAAATAGTCCTCTTAGAAGACAAGTTCAGGATGAGCCTTTTAGAGAGAATAGTGAGGCAGAATGGTGTCTACAGAATCCAAGCCTTGAAAATATGGAGGCCAGATTACCATTTCAGTAATCTTATTCTGATATTCACACCCAAGAGGAAGCAGACAATACCAGCAGATATTACATCCATTATTAATCAATTCTCCAGGGATGCTGGGGAGTTACCCTTCAAGAATTCACCTGCACAGCCTTCTGTGCACAAAACCCTACTCACTGAAACAAACACTGCTGGAAAGGGAATTGGGGAAGATTCTCAAATATCCCCAAAAGCATTCCCAAATTGTTTACAATGCATTCAGTTCTGCTTCCCACTGAACATGTGCACTCCCAGTGCTCCCAGGAAGGAGGGGACAGTGCAGCAAAAATCTGCATCATTCCACTCAGCACAGTGACTCAACGACATCCTGGGCTGTGTTGGGAGCACATGAGAAAAATGTGTGGAAATAACCCTGTCCTGATAAAAATAGTCTAATTTAAGACATGCACACAGTTTCTTGTTAATCATCTGTGGTGACTTTAGCACCATAAAAACATCACGGCTGCACTGTATGGTATTGTGACTAAATTCCTTTATAAAATAACTTTCTATCTTATTTACAAGTGCTGAACAAGAAAATGCTTCAGGAGACATTTTTAGTGTTATTTCCTGTGACTCTGCACTTCCGTTGCCATAACCTACTTAGAAAAAACCCATGTAGGAGGCAGCCAACTCTAACTGTTCATGACCTTGTTCTCTCATCCTCTGATGATTAAGAGGATTTCTCAGTATTGAGCAAACAGTCCAGAACACAATCAGAAGTTTTCCTTGCTTCCACAGCCAACATTTACCTCAGGTCAGTGAGAAATGAAGAATTAATTTCCCTAGACTAAATCTCCTTCCTATGGCATTAGGTAAGAGGAAYTGACTTTACAGGTTTGTGTCACTGTAAGAGGGATAGCAAGAAAACAGCAGAGSTATTAGGAAAGGGRTAAGGTAAGGAGCAGGAGGGTCTARYRCAGCTTGCTAAACAAAATCTGCTCAGACAGTGCAGAATTATCCCAAAACAGGTCCTACACAAACCATACAACCATATTTCTCTACCTTAAGGCAACTTCACTCACAGCTTACCCTGGATATTCTCAAATCAGTTTTTAAGTATCTGAATTCTAGTTAAAAAACACTGCTGAAAGATTCTGAAAAGGATCTGGATTTTACTGTTTATTTCCTCCAACAGCAAAAAAGAAAACCACTGCAAAGTTTGAGGCACTTTAAGAAGTTCCAAGAACTTCCCAGATACCTGGTTTACCTGTGGCACTCACCAGCCAACTCCTTGTCATGTCCAAAGATCAACAGCACAATAAAGGTTTTACACTCAGTGACTGGGGAAGAAGGTTCCAATTGGCCTTAATAGCTCCAGTCACAAATTTACCAGGAGGGCAAAGCTTTATTWCCTCACATTAGTTCTATACAACAACAAAACACTCCACAAACAAGTCTAARTTAATCAAGCTAATTTGGTATTTTGACAATTAGATTCCAAGGGAATCAATTACTGTGGAAAAAACCTGAACACTTCAGATTCTTAAAAATGTCATTACTGTATTTTACTGTGGCAAGAACAGCCACATACAGCAATGCTGTTTATTGCTTCTGAAAGTAGTTMTATAAAATCTTAATTTATATAAATGCTTAAACCAAAATATCTGGCAAGTAAGTCGCTTTTTTTGTTTCAAAAAGGAACCGGTTAGATGATAATTTAAATCTCCTACACCTCATTCTTTCTGATCCCAGTAACTTGGTTCTTATTCCTTCACCCGTGTTACAAAGAGCAAAGGGAAAACTGTGTTGATACCTGAGCATTTTGTACAAGGCAGTACAACTACACAGCCAATATATTACTGAACTGAAATGATGTTATTATACAAAAATATTTTAACCATTGCCCATCTACAATTACTAGCAACATCTACCCTATCACAAGTTATAAAAAAAGTTAATCTCAATGAGAAAGTTCCTTTTATGGCATACTGCACCTTTAAGCATAACATCYGTTTAGACACAAACATTTCCAAATAGAACAGGGACTTAGGCAGAGACCACAAACTTTAAAACAACAGGAAAAAGTGCAAACACTACTTTGTCACCCACTTTTCTTATGTCCTTTGTACTGTTGCGATTTAGCTTTTTTCTTCTGTTTGGATGAACTTGACTGGCTATCTCTTGATGCTGCAAAAAATGAAGATTTCAAAATTTATGCTTAGTATTTAAAAAAACCAAACTTCAGAATGTGTCTAAGCTGCTACACTGTTACAGAACTTTTCCTTAGTGACTGAACAAAGGCAGAAAATTGTTGTGGAAAACAAGTTGTATAAACTACTTAATACAAATTCTCTTATTAGCCTCTCATTAAACAACAGGTCTTGAAATGCAGTTATGAATTATTATCACTTCTTCTGACAGGACAAGTTGTGATGTAATAAATAAGACACAGCTTCTGCAYAGGCTGAGTTCCACCAAATTCAGAAGGTAAAACAGATACATTAGCACTCTTAAAGCAATATAAATTCTCAGTGACATCCTCTAGAACTGAGAAGCAAGAGGCTTTTTCTGTGCATCAAATCAGCATCTTTTGGCATTGAAAAATAGTAATGATGCTCAGAAGTACTTTAGAAGTCAAAGTGGGGCAGATTAGAACTGTGAATTAGAACATTCAGGCATTAGCAAGAATTTGTTCTATATTTGTTATGCCTGGGGACATAACTGGAAAATCTTGGGAGACTGAGCCCCCACAAAATGCATTCCCATTACTGACAAGGCAGGACTCACACTGCGGTGCTGGAGGCTGGAGCTGGTACCCAGTGAGCTGGCACCATCCCACAGGATACAGGTCTGGGGATTCACAATCCACCCACTGGTCATACTCGTCCTCCCAGCCATCGAAGTGGATCCTCAGCAGGCGGTGGATGATGCGCGTCACCGTGGCCACGCACACCAGGCGGGGCTCCATCAGATCCACGGCCTCCAGCTTCATGCCAACGTGAAACCCATGGTTTGGAACTTCCTGGGGGAGCACACAACATCAGTGTTTAAAACATCAGTGAACAGAGCTGCTCATTAAGATAGTTAAAGCAGTGTTGAAACAGGGATTTCATTTGACTTAATACAGAAAAAATCCCAAGTATTGATGAAGTGTCATGTACTTCTGCATCTATTTAACATTTCACAGATACTAAACCCTCATTTATTTAAATAGTTCTTATCTCTAAAAGCCTCCGTTTCTCAAAATTGTACTTAATGAAATGGGTCCATCCCATGCACTATGCAGAAATGTAAAGGGAATAATAATTCTACTACAAATCTGTATAATTTTTATTACCTTATTGAAGAGCTTTACTGGTGCTGCTATTGAGTCAGTTTCCCTGAGGTAGTCAAACCATTTAAAAGGGAGTTTTGCATAACCTGTGAATATTAAACAACATTTTCATACATCAACTGCAAACTTCATGTGTAAGAACAACAGCAAAAATAGCATATTGGGAGTGTGTTACAGCTAAAAAGACAACAAAGAAGTCAAACATTAACATCAGAAATTTCCTCTCTGAGCTTTGCTCTAAGGGACAAAATCATCTGGACATTGCCCATTTGCAAACAAGCAGAATGAAGCACTGGGTAACACAGAAGTATCATCTAATGTTAAGACTAACCATTTAAACTGGAAGGTTCTTGTCCACACATCTACAAATGCCCTACAAAATGACCCAGAACAGATCATGGAATTAAGCATGGATGTGTCTTCCCTGTGGGGAAAAAGCTCCACTATTGAAACACTTGAATTGTCAGGAACAGAATGATAAGAATAAATATGGATATTTAAAAAGTTTAGTAAGTGTAAAAAAAGCAATAAAATGAAAAATTAGAGGATTTTTTTAAAAGCTATTATAAAGCGAAGAAATTAATATCTCAAAAATATATGTAGCTGCTACTGCATAGGCACAAAATGCAGGAATATTTTTTTGCTTTGGGCAACTTCTACAACTGCTTAAACTAATAATTCTCTAATGATAGCTGCAGCAAGAACAGCTTGGAAGATTTCTCTGCAGCAGCGTGCAGTGATGGACATCCTGAAAACCTGCAGTGCAGTGGGCATGGCAAGGAAGGCTGTATCTCACCTCTGTGGGGGCAGAGGGCTGCAGCTCAGGGCWGCCACACTCTGCACTCACAGCCCCAATTCCATTCCTCAAAGTGCCTAAGCATCTTCATCTTCTCCTGATTTCAGCACGGGATGAAGATGATTGGGAGGAATGAGCCCAATGATTTCAGAGCAACTGAAGTTATCCCCAAAGCTAAGTGTAACTTGGATAAGAGTGCTGACGTTGGAATGTGGAATATATGGAATATCTCCATGARCAGATGCAGCTGGAGAGTTAATTAGTAAAGGCAATCATGTATCAGTTCTCGTCATTAATGCTTTTCTTCTCAATGTAACATTCCATACATTGTASTCAAGACACAAGATGTGCACATGGACCTTGTCAGCCCAAGCAGAATTAAGAAATTGTCCATTTTCCAGCTCATAATTTGGAAAGCAAAACACCCCCCTCATTAGAGCTAAGRAGCTTTATCACTTTGATCCTATTAAAAATGCTAATGCGTATTATGCTCTATTTTACTGCTGGTAATTCCTCTTCCAAATGACTTCTAAATTATTGCATGCGTGATTTATAATCACCCCTCACTGATGACAYAGGACTTGGGAAAAATTGCAGTAAAAGGGAAATCGTACATGGAGGTAAATAATTAGTTTACCATAATGCAATAAATACTAAGTATCATAAATGTCCTAACAGCAAAATCCACATTCTGTAAGCAGCGTTTAAAGAGTGAAGAGGTCAAGTCTTATCCCCAAAGGCAGCTTTTTCTCCTATTCTGTCTCATCAGTTCCATAGGTTTATTTCTCAATTGATTTATATGTTTGATATATAAGCATTTTCCTCCCATAAAAATTTCTATTGCAGGAGTCTCTGCACCTCAGATTTTTCAGGAATGCTGGTGCCCATGAATTTCTAGGCAATAGGTTCACTAAATGAACTGACTGAAAAATGAACGTAGATCTGTATTAACTGCACTTTCCACACACTCAAGGATGACAGAGTCATCAGTGTACAACAATGGAAAAGTAATTTCATATCGTGTTGCACTACATTGCCTTTAAAGTTATTACCTATAAAAATAATTCATTAAATACAAATAGAAGCCTGCAAGAATGAGAATGGAGAGAAAAATCCATAGAAATCATTGTCATCTGCTGTTATASAACTGGTTATGATCCTCTTAAAAACTGCCAGGCCAAGACAATAAAATAAAATGGGAATGGAAAGGCAAAATCTTCWGTAGTAACATATGCCCATGGACAGACAGCTTTTCCTCACAGAAGGGTTTATTCAGCATGCAGCCCTAATGGCTACTTCCACAAAGCTCAACTTTGTCTGTAGTCCTCCAAAAATTAACTGGTATTGCTGTGAATTAGCTGAAGTCTGAGATTCTTTACAGTATTCATGAATTGGATTATGTCCATGAATTGGATTATGTCCAATTAATCAATTGGCCAGGAGTTCCCAAGCACTGACCAGCTCTTTCAGTGACTCCCATACTGATTTTCTGACCAGCTTTTTCAGTGACTCCCATACTTCCCACTGATTTAGTGGAATCCTCAATTTCTGACAGCAAATGCAAATTATTTCAGCCAATTATCAATTTAACTTTTTCTAAATACAGTGTTGGCTATCTCTGGTTTACATTACTTCAAAGTAATGCTGTTGTATTTCTTTCAAACTTGAAAAAGTTCTAAAAAGTGACTTGAATTTTGTAGGCTGAGTTAAGAAACAAAGCATATGGCACATACAATATCACTGAGCAATATTCACAAGAAAAGGTGTCAGAATGCTACCTGTACCTCTGGGTGGAGTTAGTTCAATCATGTTAATTTCACAGAAACCAACAGGGAAAATAGAAGGGGAAGTGGCATGGTAACAAAACCAATCAGACCCATCTGCTGCTTCTGAGCCATCAATCCCAATCATAAGATAGCCATCTGCTAACACCTTGGTAAAGAGAAACAAAATTGCACATTAAATTCCTTCAGCTGGGTGAGAAGGCTACAAAGAAAGCATGCCATGTTTCAGAAGAGTGCAAGTCACTCAATCATTATGGAAGCACACTTAGAAGAACATTCAATTATAACAAAAAACCTCAAATCCTACCTGTCTCCAGGATTCTGAGTACACCTGTCACATGTACCTTTGATAACTGCAAAGTTATGAGATCAACTTTTCTTTTTTCCGATCTCAAGCTTTTTTTTTTTTTTTTTTGTGAATATCAGGTCTTCTTGTAAAGCTTTATAACTCAGTCTATTCTTCATCTTGCAAGGATATTCAGCACACCATTACTCAAAATCATAACCACACTCCTCCTCACTGGAAAGGTTAAACAATTCAGCTAAGCTGCTTTTTACATTTTCTCTTTTAAAACAGACTTCACATGGATTGGCTCCCTTTCAATCAAGCTAGGAAAGAAGTTCAGCCTTAAAATATCTTCACAGACTTCTGCAAGTCAGCAAGAAGAGGTTTRGTTTAAAACAGTTGCAAAACATTTGGTATAATAAGCAGAAGATTGTCCTGCAAATTCATCTCACAAATACRTTCTAATTAAAGGTCAGGCTGAATTTCCAAAGATTAAATAAAATCAAATTTACACGAGCACGTTTTCATAGTGGTTATATATAAACAATTCATAGGCACACCCCATTCACTATGGGAATGAACTGCACTGATTTTGATTTCAAGMTTTTTGTTTCAAGCCTGAATAAAGGTGACAAAGGATTCCTCTCTGCCTCCCCAAAATACACATTTGCCTTCTTACCTTTCTGATAGTTGCCACACATATTGCTGAAAGGTTTAAGGGGTCTATAGCTTCCAACTTCATTCCTTCTTTAAACCACTCTCCAGCTGCATCAACCTCTTTTACCTAAAGAATCACAGAATAGCAGCAAAAGCAACAAATTTAGTGAGTCTGGAACAAAACATACTCCCCCACTGCCAAAGCAACAGACAAATACCTGTTCTACCACCTCTGCTTATATCAAGGAGGTCAGATTGGGTAATAAAAGCAGAAATGCTTGTGCTGGGCCAGGATGTAAATAGAGTTTCAGGTCTGGTTTACACACAACAGGAAGTAAAGGTCCTCAATGAACACAAAGTGYTCTTGTTATTGGACTCACCTTCATAAATAAATGTGGGGGTGCATCAAAATGTCCATCCTGTTTCTTTGTAATATCTGAAAGGAATAACAGTATCATAATATTATTCAGAAGTTAAGAGCAAACAGCATCTTTGTATTTTTGTATTTATGTTGACTAATACCATGCAATCACTGGTGTGGGAGGCCCACAGTTTACAGTAAGAACACCACAAAAATCTGGAGGACACAACAATCCATTTATTTTCCTTGCTGACKTCTATTTGAGCTGCCTCTGTAATACAAACATCACTTATGAAAAAGCCCCAATATCCAGTATTTACAAGAACACTTGATTATGTCACAAAACCGATGAAAGAATACATAGAAGCTTTAGCAAAAAATGGGCAGGTAAACTACTTCACACTAGACTTTGTCAAAAAAATCACATCCATATATATTTTTATGTGATTACATACAATCACTTTATAAATGTTTCAGTGAAAGCTGAAGCATTGGGAAAACTGAAGGCTTTTCCTTGAAGGGAAGCCTYGTGGAATTTTCTAGAGGAATTCTGTTTCTGACAAGGGATATCATCTCAAAGGAATAGAGACATTAAAAAAAAAAAAAACCCAGACTTTTTTTGTTTAGAAACCTTAATTATTTCAAATTACAAGTGTTTTTGTATTTTAGGTAACAAGGAACTTAACTGTGTCCCTTCTCTTAGACTGCCACTTCACCTTCCCTGCCCATCCCCTAATKACCTCTAAATCACATAAATATGGCAATAGAAAATATTAGACAGTCTTTAAACTTGCAAGTAAATAGAAATTCTCTAATAGGATGCTTGTTCACATCGTATTGTACAAATAAAGGAGTTAGATATGAAGAAACTAGGAATTTGTGTAGCAGGGCTATAATTCCAGGTATCAGCATGCAAAGTGAAGTTTATCACACTTGAATTCTGCAGTTCAAGGTTCTTCTACCTACAGTTTGCTAATCTCTGTTTGTAACTGAATCTTCTAAATATCAACACACTACAAATCAACCTAAAAGTTATGGTGGCTTTTTCCACTGCTGTATAATCCATTAAYTATAATTTTAAATTAAATTCCTGCATGTAATATAATTGGCAAAACCCCTAGGCCACATGATACGCATTTTAAAATATCAGTATTCAAGACAGTTTGATTAATTGTATAAAGCAACAGAATTGCTTAAATCAGACTTGTCTCAGCCAACACTGCCCACAAAACACCTCTAAACCCCMAATACTTACCAGATCTCTTGAACCTGTGTCCTATACTTCGAGACCAGCCAATATGATGAATGAGTGGGCTGTACATATGGCACCAGAAGTCGTCAGTTTTGTCCTCACTCTCCTCATACACCAACCTCAGGCGGCCCCCGATGACACTTTCCACCACGGCCACCCTGGTCCGGCACAGATGTGTCTTGTCCACCACTTCTACCCTCATGGAAGTTTTGAATGGGTACTGCATACTCTCAGACACCTTTAAGCAACAGGAAACAAACATTCTGTAAGAATAGCCTCCGTTTTTCCATCTTCCTCTGTCTATTAAAGCACAGTATTAATGCACTTATTTAATTCAAGTACTTGTTAATTAACCTGAAGAAATGACACAAATTAGTTCTTTTATTTCATTGTAATAAAATGTTTCAGAAAACTAAGAATAGATCCTACTATGCTTTAATTGTTTCAAGGTCATACCTTGAGATACAATTCTCACCTACACTCAAGGAATTTTCCACTGACATAATCAAAGTTTGTTCAGCTGCTAACAATGGCTGAAGTTACCTTGAGCAACAATTCTAACAAGAAAAGCCAAGAATTTTTGTTCTTCCTTTGTCATCCACTCAAAATATAGCATTTTAGAAACAGGATTAAAATACTTTGTTATAAAAAGCATAGAAAATAAATCTTCCACATAATTAAAGCTGGAAACACTCACAAATGTGTTTCTTCACAACACAGAAACAAAAGGAAGAGAATGGAAATAGATGTTAATCTGCTTTGTGAAAATAGACTGTGTTTAAAAATCATCATCTGTCACTTGCCACTTTCATTTTCAACTCCCCAAAGGATTGAGATCATGCCAGTTTAATTTGGCTTCTGAGCCAATTTTTAAATAAAAATTAACAACTGCAGAAAGGCCTTTTGGTCATTTTTCAAACATTAGATGCAATGTAAAACAACAAATCAACTCTCATTTTCCTACTAAGAACTACATACAACAGCATCTCACAATATTGGTAAGTAAACTTACAGCACACTATACAGCAGCTGTCATATTTAAAGACTTGACTGAAAGATACAAAAAACCCTAGTCCAGAGCAGGTGAAAAATATTCACATTTAAAAGTATGATCTTTATATCCTCTAGATCCTTACTAAATGAACATATTTCATCCAGTTTCTTGAAATAGTGCATGATAAAAATGACTGATTTAGAAAAACCACTTTTCATTTTCCTTACATATCACAGGGTAGCTCATGAGCACTTCTGGGTTTTCTGTGGATTTTTTAAATGAGCTATTTTAAAATTAAAATAGACTAACTAGTTTCTAAAGCAAGCTATTTTTTCTAGAGCAAACAGTTTTCCAAATACATCCACAATTATGACTTAACTGGAGAAGGGATTCCATGGAAAATTTTATCTAAGGAAAGAAACTACTGTATCACCTTCACTGCAAGAGGAGCTAAATGTGCCATGGTAAAATATTTCAGCTCTTCACATTGCGCTGTAATTTTCTTTACAGAACATCATTGATATTGCATCAGCCTTACCTTCTGAGAAAAGTCAGGAGGAAGTGTTTTGGCACCAGTAAGTCGTTTCACTAGAAAAGCTTTCCAGTTTGTGTATTTGTGTTGGATGGCTGTTGCAAATGAAGGGGAAAAAATAAGCCACTGATTTTTAATTGTGTCCGTTAGAGACAACATTAGAGTCTGGAATATGTAAAGAAGAAATCCCAGATGACTGTTAAAAGGCCTGGATGACAATAATGACAAAAAGCCTCTTTAGAGAATGAATGCTACCCACGATTAAGTTCATGGGTCAGGGTAAGGAATTTAATAATAAAGTATGAATAAGATCAGTGCATGTCCCATCACTGATTAGTCAAATGCTGCCACCCTGATCTTAAAAGCTTTGAGTTGCATCAGATGGGCTACTCCAAGAAACACTTTCAGCATCAGTCAAGCTCTTACTTTTCCAAAAGTTAAAATTATTGTTTAATAAAGAGACTTTGACATCAATCAGTAAGGCTGCTATTTACATACTTCGAGGAGGAACTAAGGGCTTCCCACTGGTTGCACACCAACCAACTGGGTGGATGTCAGACCCACAAATGTTGCACCAGAAGTCAAGACTTGAATCATTTTCAAAGCCTTCATATCTCAGCAGTGCATTATAGCCTGCAAGAAAACATTTAAATAAGAATACAAGAATGAAACAAGCTTATAGAACATGTATGAATATTTCTTGACCAATCATCATGTACATTACATTTGTTTTCTGGACTACACATTTTATAGCAAGAATTTTAATGGCACATTTCTGGATATTATTAATGCACAGAATGGATTACTTTGATAAATGTGCATGTGTTATCATGTAAGTCAATTAATTAAAATTCTTGAACTATAAACCTTTAGAAGATGTACGTAGGAGGACAAAATTAATTATGCACAGTCTCCGCTTTTTCACATCTTAGATCTGTGACCTTGAATTTCTAACTTTTTACCAAGACAAGTGATTTGTATAACAAGGCTTCTTGCCAGCTCTTACGAGTCTCTTATCTGCTCTGTACTGCTCTTACTGAACTCTGAGGTAATATTTATAAAAAACCAAACCAAGAACAGACATTCTCAGGCATCACTGCAGCCACTATGGAACAGTGACAGTAMTACAATGTGTAACCTACTGACACAGCTCTGCCAGCCTGGCCACTGTCAGCATCACACTCACCAGGTGATCACTGACTAAATTATTAAAGCCCTTCACACAATTGTTTTGATTATTTTAATTCCAACTAAAGCACATTTACCTGCTAATTTTACAATTCCAGCTATCCAGAAGACTTTGGTAGGTAGGCTGCAGTCAGTGTTTGGAACCTCCACTCGCACTCCTTCTGCAATATCACCCCAGCAAGTCCCCATGGGTGCCTGTCAAGGTTGGGGTTAAAAAGTCACCAGCTCACCACATGAACATAATTATTCCTTGTTCTCTCAGTGTTTTATGAGCAACTTAAAAGGACAAAACATTCAATATACATACAACAAACATATGGTTAGAAACCACTGCTTCTACGAGAAGCTCCTTTGATTTTGAAGCTTATATGCCATATTGTAATCATATCCAATTATAACTGTGTATTTACTGAAAAAAACCATTGCATTCCAAGTTTAAATATCTGTTTAAGCACAATCACAAATTGTACATTCTCACAGGTCAGTTTTATGTTATCAGGTTCCAACTAGGAACAAACTATTGATGTTAGTGAGAATGGTGGAATTCCTGTGCAATTTCTACTTGCAAAGAAATTATGCTATCTATAGCACAGACATCAAAACCTTAAAATTCTGTAAATCAGAAATGTTGCTGAAAGAACACCTAGAAGTTATTTCTTGAATCTATTCTCATGATTTATTATGGTGGGGTTTATCACCCACTGATTCACATCCTCTCAGAAGAACAGGCTGTCACATCACCTGCAAGTGATCACTCCTTGGAGCTGGCAAAAAGAACAGAAGGCTCTGAGTGGCACCTTTTTAATGAACAGCAGAAGGAAAGGCACAGCAAGATCCCTCACACTGTCCTGTGTGAGGAACGTGTTAGGAACGAGAAGGAATACCTGATGAACTTGTAAGGGTTTGCAGAAGCTGCTGACAGAAATTACATTTAGTTTGCTATCTCCAGAAGAACATTTGGTTGAGCAGAACATCATGAAATGCCAAAGATGGCATTGTAGCGATATCAGAAATGCAGAGTTGGAAAACCTAAATTCTTAACATTACTCAACTGGAGTTAATATTGTAACAAGTAAGAAAATGACTCTGCATTACACTTGAGACCACCCAGAAGAGAAAAATTAATATTTTGGGTGTTTTAGAACAACAGGCACATCAATTCTGAGAAAAATTAATTTTTATCAATTCAGAGATTATCCACCTGTCACTGGGACAACTGAAGGAGGGATCCTCTGGCTCTGCACAGTCTCACTTACAAAGCTCTTTGCAAACCCAGAGAACTGAACCCTTCAGTGGGAACAACCTCCAACTGCACAGAATTGTTGCTGGGAGCTACAAGGGAAGAAATCTGGATTAATCCTGAATGACTGGAAATGACAATATCAGAATTTTGCTCTCAGCAATAGCCACTAGCAGCACCAAAAGCTGAACTTATCTTAAAAAAGTGAAACCCTTCACTAGTGGAAGCACTTGAGGCTATATAAAACTTGAAACTGGTTTTAACTCTTAAAGGAAACGTAAGTATGCCAGTTTTCACTCTTGAAGCCTGGTCTCTTCATGTTCTGCTATGTCCCATCTACACCAGTCTAGACCTCAGAGTTCTCTTCTGCCAACTGGCAGCCAGAGAAAAATCCAACTGAAAAGATGATGGCTTGTTTTCACACATCAAATATGCAGCTACATCTTCTTAAATCCCATCCCATTTTGCTATCATCTCTAAATTGACATGAGTAAGCTTTTGAATTGAATTGGGGAAATAAACTTTTCAAACTGCATATTTTAGCAAATCTTGTTGTTTTGTAGAGATACAGATGAGACCAAACAATCAAAAATAGCAGTACTGAATAATTTCATAATCCAGCTGCACTCAACTGAAATATATTTTACTGCCTGCTCATCTCTTCAGTTGATTCAGTGAGAAAAGTAAATCAAAACACTTCTCCTGACATCAACCTATAATAAAAATTTCATTTCTAGAACGTGGATTGGTATAGAGGGAAATAGCAGAAAGTTAAATTTGTCCTTGTCTGTGAAAATATTGGTTCTGCTAGTTCTCCTACACCAATCCATATGGCTCACCCTATCAAGAAGGAAGCCATCCTGTGCAGCATCACAGGTGAAATGCCAGACCATGGTACTGTCCTCAGGGATGGTTTACAGCACTCCTGCTACACTGCACCATCTCGGCCTCCTTCACTCATTGGGAATATTCTTAAGGCAGGAAGACCTGGATAAACCAGGGCTGTGACAGCCATCTTCCTTCATTTCTCCTCTGTCTCATCTGGTTAATCAATCAATGTTTGAACAGTGCTTTTTCAAACTCAAAAAGCACTAGAGAGGTGTTAGGTCTTATTTATCTGCTGGCTGGAAGGTGACTGCAGGCTGGATTGGCATAGTGTGAACTAGCAGAACCATCATTTACAGGTAAGAACAAATTTACCTTTCAGACTCATGACGAAGAGATCCACTTCACATCACTCCCAAACAAGGAAGAGCTGGCTCCTGGTTCCTGCTCCGGGACATGACCTGGGAGGGTCAATCTGTGAGCACCAGGGGCCTTCTCTGCAAGGCAAGGGGCAGTCAGGAAGGGCCTGTTTGACAGGAACACCTAAAGGCCAAGCACCCCCACATACACAGCTGAACAAAGAGCTCACACGGCTTAAAAAAGTGGCTTCTAAAGATTTTRAATGGCACCAACATTGCCATGATTCCACACTTTAAATCAGGATTTTAATGGCAAAGTGATGCTACCAATTCCTGAAGTGTAAGGAATGCTGAAACCTGGTGTGTGAGCAATAACAGGTAATGCCAGAAGAAACAATGTGCAAAAGAGTTTAAACAAAACCCTTCAAAGCAAAGCACTGCCACCCAGTGCAGCATCCTGGAAATGCTCCCTTCCATCACACTGGATATAGTTATAAAACAYAAGAAACCAAGGGAATGCAAATGTTTTGGCTCAAAATAAAATTCAGCTGGAAGAAAGAACTTCAGGAAATGTCCCCCTCACCAGCAAGAGAGTGAAAATAAATAATTACTCTTAATTGTGCATGAAGTTGTCCATTAAGTAGTACTGCAAAACAACTCAAAGCACTATATTTGCTTTCAGATTTAGGAATGGTTTGAACTAATAAAAGCAACTATAGAAAAGAGCAAAAAGTGTTTGGAGGAGAGAGAAAACAGAACACAGGTCAGCAGTGAGCTCACTGTATGTGACTAAGCTATAACACAATATTAAAAACATTAAATTGAGTTTTTCTCCTTGCAGCAGCTACTGCTGTGTGTCTGATTAATGCAATTTGACAAAAAAAGCAGCTGCAAGGTGCACAAATGGGAATTCTGGCTTCCTGTGGGACATAAACCAAAGCAATTCTCTACTTCAGTTTACTGAACTCTGAAGCCATGGCCATACCATTGCTACTGAATTTCCCTAGCACTACTCAACACTGAGGTCTGGAATAAAGGTAAAATGGAAGCACAAAAATCAAAGTATCAAGTATCAAAGTATCAAAATACTTCAAAATTTATTTTTCTCATAAAGAGAAAGAACTTCCAAGATTTAGATACTGAATTCTGAAATATTTCAAATTGAAGAAGAAATAATACCMCAGGAAAAAGAAAAACACAACCAAAAAACTGATGTGGGAAATCTACATCATACCTGAGACGATGAAGTATACCAGGATATTAAAAAAAAAAAAATAAACAAAAAAACCAAGAAGCCAAATCTCACATAATTCCYTTATGTTTTCTTTAATATTTATTTCAGTGTTCCCTATCAAATATCCATACAGATACACCCAGTATAACCAGTAAATTAAATATATTTTATTGAAAAATGAATTAAGAGTAATATGTCATGATTTTACTGTCAAATCAAAACTTTGGTCTTGAATAGAATAAGCTTTGTATGTTCCATCACATACATACAACATGTGTATGGAATCCATAAAATGGAGGGTAAACAAACATCAACTAATATAAACTTTTATAACTCAAAGCAAAACAGTACACAGAAAACAGCAATAATCTTTCCAGAGAGACAAAAAGAATATTGTTTAATTATCAGTGGAGAGTGGGACAGAGAGATGGATCTAACAAGAGAGCACTGAGGCGTTTTCAGATTCTGACTGCTTTAAAGAATGTATTTTTCAGAGAAAAAATTAAATGCAAATCATACCCTTGTAACACTAACTCATGCCCACGAAAGAAGTAGAAATCTCCAAAGGAAGCTACAAGATTTGCATTTTACTTGCACGAAAAAGGAAAAGAAACAACTTTCAGGCTACTTAGCAGCACTGCTGCCATGATATGGTGAAAATTTTCAAGATACTTGGTGACCATGAATGTGGCCTTGGTTCCATTATTGGGGCACTGGGCAATGAATGAATGAAGCAGTGAGAAAAGAAGATACAACTCTTCTAATAATGCAAGTTGCAACATAATTTACAAGTGACCTGACAATTGTAGCCATCTCTAATTGACAATGCCACCCATTCTGAGGCATTTGGGGATAAAATAGCACAACCCCCGGTATCAAAGAACATTTTTTGATAYGGATTTATGAAATCACTTCTTACATGTATATAGCTGTGAAAGCAAAGTGCAAACATGCTGACCTGAGCATGTGGAATTTGATACAAATTCCCCAAGTTCTCCTAACGCAGGGCTCTGTTCTGGGCAGTAGCTGAGGCCTCTGAGCATAAAGGGTGCTATTCACAAAGTGCCAACTGCCAGGAGCCCTCAACTCCCACTGCTTTATGAGCTGACAGGGCTCAGCAGGAATTCCAGAGCTGGACAGAAAATATGTCTCTTCTCCTTCATGGACAACTTCCATGAAACAAAATGTTTGTTTTGATTGCAACTTTCAACACATAATTTCAAGCAAAACAGAAATTTTGTAACACAGAACACTTCAACTTCTCAAATTTAAAAATATGCTGAGAAAACACCTTCTGCCAAAGTTTTTACTTAAGACACAAAGTATTGACAATATTCTAAACAATGTCTAATTATTGGAATTTAACAAACACATTAAAGACAGATGGTACTAAGTATTTTCCCCATACCCTAATTTCCTCAGTTATTAAGGAATGTCTTTGTGTTTGGAATTGTTGTAACTCTAATATAAGCGATTTCTTAAATTTCATATTTCTAAACAGTCTTCATTTTCCTCTATTCTAGACTACCTGGCAGCCCAACTGACAGGGAAAATCTGACTAAAAAGTAAGAATGAAAATCCCAAATCCARATATGCAATGTTCAACACAATGGAAGAAGCCTTACTTAATCTAAAAAACCTTTTGTAACTTTTTCCAGTACAGCATGGTTTGGTTGGTTTGTTACTCTGCAGTACATGGGAGGATTTAGTGCCTTGAATGTGAGAAAAATAATTCAAGTGTTTTAAGAGTCCTCCTTTTACTTTTTGTCTATGAGAGTATGATGTTCAGACTGGTTTTAAAGGACAGTAAAAATTATCTCAACTGTACTTATGCTACCCACGTTTATTATATAATTTTCACAGGTCATGAATTGTATATGAACAKGAATTTTTAGGGAAAATGAATTCAAGAATTCCTATAGCCTCACTCATACACCAGAGAAGGAAAGCATAAACTGAGAAATACTCACGTGTTTAAAGCAGGTAACAGGAGCTGCTGTAAAGCTATTGCTATTGATGTAGTTACCCCAGCTGAAACCTTCCACAGGGACAGCTGCTAAGGGAAAGTTATTTTAGTTAGAAAGTTGCGAATGAGGCACAAATCTTCCAGTATTTTTGTCTCAGCTCTGTTTATGTGCTGTTACCTGCTTTTGTCTTTGCCTGGTTTTGTAAGGTTGCTTGGTACTGGGCATATGCTGCTAATTTAGCCACTAAGGGCTGTTTTTGTAGAACTTTAGCCTTCTTTGTTGGAGGTTTACCCTAAAAAAAAAAAAAAAAAAAAAAAGCCAAGTAAATAACATCTTTCCAAACACCCATCAGGAAATTTCCACAGTCTGTAGCTATGTTTGGTAGATTTAACTAAAATTAAAAGCACACAGAGACTAAGTACCACACAATTACATGTAATATAAAATAAATTTAAAAAACCAGTAGCAAAGAATGTCCAAAAGATGACTTTTGTACTACTATTCCAACTTGCACAGCATTACAGATTCACTGTTGTTTACCTGAAAGAAAGATAYCTTTTAAAAGCAGGTCAAAAGGAAGAACTTTTAATCTAATTTATAGCCATGTAATTTCTTGKCATTTGGCAATTTGAGACAGGGTATAATATTTCTTGACATTTCTGTATCTTTTCTTGAACATTACAAATACGCCAGGATGATTATTTGATTAATACTTTAAGCAAACAGACAAACCCCTATTTTGCAGCTTTATAAAGAAAACCCTCAAACCCAAACAACTTATCTTAAAACATKCAGCCAGCTGCACAAATGGCCAATTTCAGCACCACAGACGACAGAAAGGAAGTAAAGAAAACGGTGTCTGTACCGCTACCTGAAGCCTGGCCAGAATGCTGGCCTTCTTGGAGTTGGAGGAGTAGCTTCTGGAGCACGACACGCTGCAGAAGCGCTTGGTTTTAGAGTAAAAAGCGTCCCGGACACCAACCATCCCACACATCTCACATGTAGCTGAGCAGGGGAGAGAAAAATGTCCAAATGTTAAGAGTGTAGGTAAAATCGCAGGAAAAATTTAGAACAGGACAGAGTGATGGTCCTGGATGTGGCACTAAACAGCTTCTGAGCATTTGACCCTGAGCTGAATTCCACAGGAAAAGGATTTACAATTTAAACACCACCACTAATGTTGGGGAACACCAAGAACCTCAAATTCACTGGTGAAACAAGGCCTCTTTCTGCTCCCTATTAATTTCACCCCCAGTGCAACTGAATGACCCAGCTAAATCAGCTCAAGCTGATTTCTGTTTTTTCATGRTTCTTAAAGAAACATCTGCTTTGAATCTGGGCCCGCCAATCTTGACTTCCTCTAAATATTTAATACTTCCAAGCTGAAATAAAACCAGATGTCTTTTTTGATTCGTAAATTAGCATATCCCAAATACCCCAGCCCACCAATGTTCTCTTCTGGCTGGAATCATGTTTCAGAGGTGGACAGCATCACCCACAGTGTTGCATGATGAATAACACTTGGGAGACCAACTAATGCCAGTGAGACAATACCAAAATTCTACCCAGAGAGAGCTCTAAACACCAGGATTGCAGATAAAATAYTTTTCCCCAATAACAAAAGCATTACTTAAATTTACTTTCCTAGTATACTCCAGCTCAGAGCTAATGAGTGAACAGCTATATACCAACATGTTTTCCACAGTAGTAGAAATAAAAGCTTTTCTAGTGTAGGAAAAAACAAATTTAAATATAYWGTATMTATATAAAATAACATAAAGARCAGAGAGAAGGTATGCCCTGGCATAGAAAGAACACACTGACATTGTCCTCAAARCTCCAAGAATAAAACCAATGCACATGGGAACACACAGATGCATGTACAGACACACACAACACATCTGACAGAAGGGCAGATGTTCCCATGCCACTTCCTCCCTGTCAGCAGAATTTGAATCTTCTCTTACTTCAGTTTAGCAGAACCCAAACAATTCCCCCTCCCAAAACCAACCAACCCCAACCCTTCAGCTGCTCTGGTCCCTTTTCAGCTGGGACCAACATTTGGGATTGGACCTTCGCAACCCAGGAGAGGCTAAAACCCATCAATATCCAAATCTTTGTGCTTGTGCAGCACACACTTACCCATGCCAGATTTGCCATCTGGATAAGTATAAACTTGCCCATTGTTCTTGATAATTGGKAGACTGGATGGCAAAGGAGCAACCTCCTCCTCACTCTCATCTGAACTGGAGCTGCTGCTGGTGTCCTCACTACAACTATCATAACCGTCAAACATCCCGAACGAGTCTCGGCGTTTCCTTTCCACTCGGGAACTATGTTCTGTCTAAAAATTAAAAACAGCCAAACAACAAAAAAACCAAAGAATAGCAGAATGTTCTGAATGCAAAGATTTCAAAGTCAAGCTTAAAAAGTTTCACAGGTYAGTCTTCAAAAGCTGATATTCTAAGGCACTGCTGTATAAGCACAGACATGAGCCATGTATTGCTAATTACATGAGCATTGGTATAATCAAAACTGGCCAATTTTTGGTATTGTGATATAAAGGAAAAAAAAAATCTCTCTCTTGATCCACTGAGAATACACAGGAGCCATCCATACATTTAATTTCYTTGGTATCTTCAGAGTTCATTAAGCCTGATGTGCTGAACACTGACAGCCACACGGATCTCATATGCAAATGAGCACATTCCAGATGGCTGCAGCCAATTCCACTAAAATTCATTCATTTGAGAAAGCTGGGCAGAGAAAAGGCAGTTCAAGCAAGAGGGCACTTATAGCACAGGAACAGGAATGAGAGGCTCTCTGCTCTCATTGGCTTGTGGGGTTATCCATAAATCACTCAKCTCCCCTATGAGCCCGTGACTCCCGAGTGAACACGAACACCTCTCCACCTCACAGGGCTGTTCTGAGGATTAATACATTAACCATTATGAAGAGCTCAGTTACTATGGCAATGGGGTCTGTACAAATGCTGAAAGATAGAAAGGTGACTAATTTGCCACTGTCATATACAAAAAACTTGTTACATAATAGCTTTTCTATAATCAAAAAATCTGAAGTAGGAAAAAAACCACACAATTTTGAAGAAGGCATGACAGTTAAGCAATTTCTAGCAAAGACATTAGAAAAGCAAGTGATTAACTGATGCACTTTTTCTTAGGCACATCCACCACATGCATTTTGATACAGTGACAATTAGCACTTTATTAACAATCTTACACAGCTCTACAGAAACAAGGCTGATCCTATGTGAGCTGACCTCATTAAGCTAAAAAAAAATTATGTTTCAAATTGTTTCCATAATCTTAAACAGTATCTAATAAGATTGAGAGGAAATAGCAAACAGAAAACAAAGAAATTCCACAATAGAAGCACAAGTTAGAGGAATGAAGTACAGACAAGAAAACAGCAGAAAAATTAAGAAAGCCTTTGCCTCTACTTCCTTTTCCAAGAGCTAATTTTATTTAAAAGTCAGTGTAGACAGAACAATAATGTGAGTGGGCTTTCCCTTCTTAAATTGCATTTGGATTCATAGCTTAGAGATTTCATCACAATTCCCCAAATCCCTTTCCTAGAGTGCATGCCTGAACGTCTTTATTGTTAGATCTCATTCGAGTCTTTTTCTGCCATGCTATCCCTTTATTACAATATATTCTCCTTTGCAATCTGAATAAATCCTATTATAGAAGGATTTCCTAATAGTTACAAGAGAAAACTGATTTCCACACTGACCCAACCCTAGTATGCAATTATTAAAAAAAAAATCCCCTAAAAAACCCAGTAAGCATGAAAGGTTATGCAATAAGGCAAGCACATTTAACACAGAGTAGCTCTAAAACTAAAAAAAGTCAGTGTAATGTTAATTATATATATACTCCTCAGCCAAAAAAAAAAAAAGAAGATCAAAATTGTACTAAACTCAGTCAAATTTAGGGTAGGGCATAACCTGACACCTTCCTGAAGGCACTGACATCAGCAATCAGGGTATCCATGGGATTGTCAGAGGAAACACTGAGCCATGGCAGACAAAGCCCAGCCCTGACCTGTGTTGGCAGCAGTGTCACCTGTCCCGTGTCACCTGTCCCATCTGCCACCACCATGCACCACCAGTGACTTGTTTGTGTGTGCACGTGTGTGCAGCTTAAGGCAGAAGTTGAGCACAACGTTGCCATGGATACAGTATCCTGCCAACACTGCCAGCGATTTTCAGAGCTGAAGATGCAAACTAGTCATCTTGCTCAAGATTTCAGGAGCTCCTTGCCATCTCACAATATTTAAGTTTTCCTGACCTCAGTTTCTGCTGAGATGTACTGTGTTATTCCATAGGAAGCATTCCCAGCAGTACCACCAGAGCACTTGAWGCCTACAAGGTTTTATGGACAGACACTCGTGGTGTTTCAGAGCCCAGGAAGGATCTCCTTCCTCACGCCCTCATCCTCTCTAAATCAGCTGATCTGATTTCACTAAGAGATTAGKGCCTCATCCCACCCCAAGGTGTGATTCCATGGCTTCAGCTCTCTTAGGGAGATTGCAGCATGAGCCAGTCTTGGGATAACCCTCTCCTATTCCAGACTGGAGAACCCTGGACCCACAGGGCAGTTGCTTTGCTCAGTGCTCTGCTGGCAGAGGTCTCACATGCTGTGGCAGCTCACAAGGAGCTGGTGCAGCCCATGCCCACTCCCTCCAACTCCCACTGCCAGGRAAGGTGGAATAAGAACCGGGAAGCTGGGGGCAAGGTGAAGGAGCAGAAGCTGAAGCAGTGGCAAGGTGACCACCAAAGACACCACAACAGTGCACTTGGCTCTTTTTGTTGCTCTTTTGCATCACTTCCATCTAGAGCCTCAAAATTATTGCTAAGCTTTCTTTGCCAAAATATCCACARTTGAGAAAGAAAATAGTTTCTCTTTGTAAATGGAAAGTTGGGCCCTCAATTAGGAAAAAAACATTCTTCAGCATTATGCAAGTTTCAAAGTAGCAATCATCAAGTTTTGGAGTTTAACTACACTGTCAAAACAAATCTCATGTATCACCTTTCCATTTACATAATATTTGTCCTAATTGTTCCAATTCAGAATTTTTGAACATCAAATTTGCAATTCAAAGCAGCAGCTTTGCTTACCATTTTAAAATAAGACTGCAGTTTTTATAAAACATTTGTATCACAGATATTGCCAGAAGATGACCATATTTGCCAGGTAATTTATGCAGGGCACTCTTAATTTATAGTTATTATCTGGATTGCAACTGGAGAAACTCTTTAAAATGTTTTGCGGGATGTCAAAAAGGCAGAGTTTGCAGGAAAAAAAAAACCCAAGTACACAAAAGTAGGTGAAAGTTAGGAAAGATGATATGCAAATAGCCATGCTGGATTTTGTTAGAGCAGATCAAAACAGTTCTACTTTGATAATGAACACCACAAAGGTTCTTTTTGACCCATGTTGAAACACACTGTAGAAATAAGTGAACATGTGCAAGCTTTGCTAAATCCTTCCTGCAGAATTCAGATGGACAAAAGAATAGCTCTAACATCTGAAAATGAAAAAAGTTGGGGGTATAGCCCTGAATTCAAAGGTCAAAGGCATATCCTTACGAAAAGGACAATGTATGCGTCAGACAAAACTATAAACAAGATAAAGCAGCTACTTTGGTACAGCAGCAGCCTGCAATTCCTGCTGAGTGCTTGCTGAGTGGTTCCATCCTTTTCTCTCAAAAATTAAGTATAAAATTGGGCCGTTCCCAATCTTCTAGGGCCTCCATCTTTTTCCAGAAGCTCTCAACCACATTACCAACACCTCCTGAAGTGCTGGTAGCCTCTAAATACACTATGGAGCTTCATCAAAGATACAAAGAACTTGGAACCATCTGCCCTATGTACACAGCCTCTGTCCCTTTGTTATCCCTCCTACCCTTTGTTATCCCTCCTACCTTAGAAAAAGGCAAAAGGAAGATCCAGGAAATGACAGGTCAAAGTGCCTCATCTCATCTCTGGTGGATGGAACAAGCAATGCTGGAAGTCATTTCTAGGCATGTGAAGGACAAGCAATTCTTGCAGAGTCCTTTTAGGCTCCGCAGGCAGTGCAAGCAACACCTTGTCTGTCTGAAGCAGCACCTCCCCAAGACAGCTGCTGGGTCTTGGATTCAAAAACAGGTGTGCAAGCAAAAAAAAAAAAACAAACCCAAAAAACCCAAACAAACAACAAACCTACTCTTCAAAGCTGGACTTAGCACTAAAATCATGCTGAGGAGGTTGTCTATTCCCCAGAACACGACCAGATCTGTGTTTCTTTAACTTCTAAAAAAGCAGGGAGCAGCCTCCTGCCTATGCACTATGCTTGGAGCAATAGCCTGGCTTGCTATAAAACAGAACCTTGCAGCTGGTTAATGCCAAAAGAGCAGCAGCTTGAGTAACTCCTCCACTAACAGAATCTATCTGTACATTAAGCAGAAGCAATGCACAAACAAAAGAACAAGACAAACTTTCAGGCATTCTGGCTATGGCTTATTTCCCTAATAAGATTACTGGTTCCTCAACAGAGGTTTTCAGTCAGAGCACTGTGAAGTGTAGGGTGAGCAGCACTGGCAAATTAACCCATAYTATTTGCTCGGGGGGTTTCTTGCATACTTTTCTTTATTGAAGGGATGGGTGGAGAAAGGAACTCTTAAGAACTGCTTTCTTATTCTGCCCAACTTCCCATTTTCCTGTTCTTCCTCTCCTCCCTGTGAATACTTGGCAACAGAGTATTTTTAAGAAATACTCTTAATTAAGCATTACATAAGGCAAATGGTATGATAAAAGAATATAGTTAAGGAAACCGGTTTTCCTAAGAGCAGGAAGGCAACTCTAAACAAGCATGAAAATAACCCATTTCTCACTCTTTAAAAACACATTTTTTTACATATATACACACTGAATTTGATCAACACATTATAGCATACATTCTTTGAGTGTAATCATGACTCTTACAGCACAAAAATTGGGAACAAAGAGTGAGCAATCCATGGCCAAAACAAAAACCAATTCATGTTCACCAGACATCAAACATTTACTTAGGAAATGGCTTTAGTGTCTTGATGAAGACTATGMTCAAACATTGGCAAAATTTACACAAAGGAGTTTGAAGGTAAAAACTTGCAAAAAACCCACCTCCTTATTATGAAACCAAACCTCTTCCCCCASGTAAGGGCATCTGACCACAGGAGGATGACCCAAAACAGCCACAGAAAGGTTTCAAATCCCTCCAAATGKTTGTTGTTATTTTTGAATTCAATCTGAGGCAGCAATTTGGAGCTTGGAGTGCAAGAGCTGTGGCTCAACAACAGCAACACCTGAACAGAGGCATCACTTCCTATATTCAACTCCAACCCCCTCAAATGGGACAGAAGTATGGACAGATGGGATCTGAGGCCAAGGTCAATAATGAGATCACCACAACYTTCAAGCCATGGGTCTGTGATTAGACAGATTTCCTTTAATCACATATCCTCAACACATCCAAGGGTATTTCCAAATTAGACTCAAATTTGATGCACAGCTTTTGTTTTTGAAAGTTTGTTGACGCTTTATGCTACAAACTTCGTTTCAGCTCTGGATATTGGCATTAAAGAAACATGAGGATGGAACTAATTTATTACAACTCTTCTGAATGCAAGTTTACATTTCAAAATAATTTACAGTAGRATAGTAGCTTGTCCCTGTGGAACTGAAGCCTAATTGTGCCTCAGAACATGACCAAAAAAGAAAATTCAAACACGGTACCAATTTAAAGAAAACACACTTTCAGCTTTCATTAAAAACAAACAAACAAAAACCCCCAAAGCTAAACATCTTGGGATTCCTGGAAATTAGAACCAACCAAACTTACTTTTTTTTATATAAGCAACTCACCTCTATCTGGAAATGTGCCTTCCACTCTTATTATAAGTAAAATCTCTGCTGGAAAATTACAGAAATGTTTTTTCCTGTCTCTTCATTTGCTATGTATGACAGCATTTTGTCTGAAGCCAGTTTCTGCTGTTTGCCAATGGTTTTGTCCATAGCCTCTTCCCCAGGGGGTTTCACACAAGAGGGGAGACTCTTTCATAAAAAAATATATCACATTAGCAGGCAATTTTGGAGGGGGGTGTGATGATTAATATGTGAAATATCTGAGTTCTGAGAAAACTGAAAATCTGTTACAAACTCCATTATGTTTCTACTAAGCCCTTACAGGAGTATTTGGAAGAGGCAAATAATTCACTTCAAATACTGTGTTACCATTAAAAAGAGAAAACCAAAATAAACCCAAACAAAGTAACAAATTTAAATGCAAAAATCCCCAGAACCACCACCAACCCAAAACCAAAGTCTTCAACACCTGAATTCATTCCATGAGCTCAGAGTCAGATTCAGCAAATGATCCCACATGCCCACAGTACACCAACTCACCTGAGAAATGAAGGAATGCAGTAGTGGTTTGCAGAAGGTATCAAAAGCCTTGCAAAATTAAATCAAATTTTAGAAGGTAAGAGAAATGAAAGCCAATGGGAGGGAACTTTTGTGCATGTTATCACTGCTGCCAGAGGCATTTTGCTCTTTGGGGAACAATGAAGAGAATTCTTCCAGTTTGCAATCTTTCTGCACATGCACAAGCCCACATGCTCTCAAGAATAACACCTAAACTATTCCTGGGAGAGAATATCCCTCTRCACAKTTYCCTATACCTACATTACACACTTCCTCAAAAYGATGCCTAGGCTGAAGGAACAAGAAAAGACAATCGACCTGCCAAGTTTTATTGCCTTTTAAAGGGCATATATTGCTTTAGTTCTCATTAAATGCTCCAGATTAGACTCTCATAGCATTATTCCATTCCTTTTAAGTCAAAATCAAACTGTTGAATACAATAAATAAGTAAATGAGGGTTCTCAAATGTGCAAAATAATTTTMATTTAAAATACAGGAGACTGGCCTGCAGCTTTCAGCTTTAAATGGGTTTTAATGCGAAAAATCACAACGGTTGCCAGCCACATTTTAAAATAAATTGCTTTTTCACACAAAGAAATTTTTACCAWAATCAGCATATGCTTTATAGCAGGACTTTTAATTTTTAAAGCCACACCGGGCAGAAATTTCCAAACATTTCCAGCAACAACCTGAAAGTGAAACTGGTTTCACGAGTATACTGCTCTTTACAAAGAGAACAAAGTCACAATATCAGAAGTCATAAAAATTGCACGGGGAGAGAGGAAGTGGCCGCAAAGAATCAAAAACTTTYGAAGCGCTAATATTGAAGAAAACTCTCCAGCGCTTCACATGAGCACGCTGGAAARCTGAACTTTAAAATCTAGAACTACGGGAGGAAGTTGCTGAACCCCGGTACTAGAGCGGAGCACGGGGAGAAGCGCGCCCGGGAGAAGCAGAAACTTTTCTCTGAAGCAGGAGGAAGGAGGGAGGAAGAACAAAACCCGACCCCGCARAACAAAGGGGTCCCGCCGTGCCGCCCCCACGTGCCCCGGCCGGACCCCCCCGTGGCTCCCCGGGACTCTCCGCAAGCAGCAGAACCGCGGGGAGCGCCGGCCCGGCCCCCGGAGCCCCCGCCCCGGGCTGGCACAGCCCCCCGCACCCCGCGGGGCCGCCCCCGCAACACCCGCGGTGTCCCCGGCTCCCTCCCACACACTGAGGGGCCGCCTCCCCCCGCACGGGCACCGGGGCTCGCTCAGCTCCCGCTCCCCGCTCAGCCCGCGCCGCTCTCCCCCTCAGGCGCCRGGGGTCCCGCGGGGCCGCCGCGGCCGCGCCTCCCGCGGGCTCCGGTACTCACCAGCTCCTTTGTGTTTTCCATCAGGCCCTCATGGGCAGGAGGCGCCCGCTGCCTCTGCGCGCTCGCCCCGCGGGCTCGGGCGCTGCGGGTGCCCG